ATTAGCAATCGGTATTTTCGACGATGTTTTTGTTATTATCATAACAGAAAAATGACCGGTACATTATAAATTTTGAAACTATACGATGAAAATAAAGATTGTATGGGCATTCTAATGTGTACATCATCAAATCTACTGGTACAATTTTTTTTGTCAGTTGAATTTAACCCATTAGTGCTTGAATTTAACTTTTAACCAAGTTTTTCGTTTGAATGAAATAAAATGACCTATTAAATAACTGAAATTTAATAAATTTTACGGTATAATAAAAAAACTTTATTGAATTGTTGAAGTCAAAGAACGGTGTTACATATATGTAACGCTAGCCACTACTATGAACAAATTTGACATAATATACTTAAAACTTAAACCTGCATCACATTTGGCACACATTTTTCTTGTACTTGAAGATCAGTTGTCACCAGCACAGCGTCTTCCTTTAGTATTTGAAACATACACTAAAAATGATCTTGACCATCATATCTAAGATGATCTGAAATTCTGTTATTTTACTAAATTTAGACGAAGCTGGTCTTCCGGCTCCATTTGGTAGGTTTTGAAGTTTTTGGAGATAATAATGGGGTATATTTCGACGAACAGCTAAGTAATTGGTGGTGATCGTGACTTTTTTTATAATATTCAGGCGTTATTAATTGATCCATCTAATATACCACCCTTTTCGGGATCGGATACCAATTCTATAACATGATATGTGTTGATTGCGAAGTCGATTGACACCAAAACTTGTAGATGCTACAGCTACTACATTGTTGTCTTTCCATTTTACAAAAATAACCCCATGGTCTATATCAATAGATGAAGTATAAGAATCTCGTTTCCAGTTTTTCATGGATTTTTTCAAGGCAAAGGGACATGTATGTGGAATACGATGTTTACGAAATGTACCCGTGATGTGATATTCTTTTTCACGATAGTATTATTCGGGATAAGGTATATCTTTAACCATGAATATTAGTGGAGCAGCGGCTATATGAAATAAATGTATTACATATTTACTATTAAAGGAGCACATTTTGAATCAGAATCGAATAAGCTTGCCTCTAGTAAACTAGAGATAGGAACAAAGTTTTTTTTTATAAATTTTGACTGTAATAGATTTATAAAAGGTCGCAGTTTGTGTAACTTGTCACGTTTGTCTAATTTTGTGTTGTCAGCACAGTGGATTAATTGAAGAATTTGTCTGAATCTATCTCGTCTCATGGTATTATAGACTGCCGTATTTCTTAAAGCTGCTCCAGAGTCCCAGAAATACTTTGTACCTGCTTTTGAGTCGTAACCACTTACAATCAGTATTACTATAAAGCATCTAATATCATCAGCTGCTATTTTAGGATCTGGCTGAGTTTTTAACAAGCCATAATTTCTTCTCTCATTTACCAAGTGTTCAACAATCTCTGAATCAATAAATTTTTCGAACATGTTGATACAAGTATTTTATTTAAAGTGTTCATAATTAAATTAAGGAAATGTTTTGTAACTCCGAAATAACGAGGTCTCCATTTACCCAAGTACTATTTTCTCTCAAATCAATTTTTTGAGGCAATCCCATTTGAAATGGTCCTTGGTCCACTTCGTATACATTTGATGTTAGTATTTATGTATTCAGTAGCCTAACCTCAACATTTGAACGAAGTTGAGACCCAGTCAAGTTATCGATAGTACCACCGTCTTCATCCCCAAAATCCTCGTCAGTCAGTTTGGCTGCCTCTGGAGGTTCTATGAAAATTGCCTCTATGTTATCAATAAATGCCATGTCAAGGGCCTCTTGTAAAGTAAATCCTCGCCTATAAAAAAGTAAAGATTTAGATTGATTGAAAAAGTTAAAAAATAAATACTGCAGAGTTTATTTATTATTAAATTACAAATAAATGAGCAATTACGTGCACATACAAGCCTAGCGTTACATATATGTAACACTCAACTTTTGATCAGTATAAATCACACAATATTTAAAAGTATGAGATTGTTTCTAAATTACATGAATATATGACTAAATTACTAACCAAATCTAAAAAAACAATTGTTACAGTAATTATTCTAAATACAATTTTAATGTACTTACTCGAATTGAATGTCAGGTTTTATTTTGTAAAAAATAATAGAATAAATTTGACACCTTGTTAGCACCAACTACGTTAACTAATCTAAACAAAACTTGTATGGGGTGAACAGTAATGTTTGCCGCGTGAACCGTGGCGCCATTTGTCCGTTAGTAGTTCTACAAAAAAAATTATAATGGATAAATTAAATCTTGCCCTGCGTTACATATATGTAACTATAGGCACTAATGGGTTAAATTTGCACGCAGAAGCTGCAATTGAACAGGTTATTTGGTGGATATGCCCTGTCATTTCGTACGAAAAACGTAAAAATCGCTAAGCTTTATGCGTACTCATTTTCAACTCTTTCAAGGTCACGCGTCAGAAGTAATCATTGAAAATATCACGTTGAATAATAGCAGGGAGGGGGGATTAGATTATATAGAAAAAATAAAGATGGCAACATCGTCATCACCAGCCCATAGTCGTCCACTGCTGAACATAGGCCTCCTCGAAAAACCTACATTCAGATCTATCTTGCGCTGCTGCAATGCAGTTGGTACAAATCCTCTTTATGTCGTCAGTCCTTCTTGTGGGCAGTCTTCCCGGGTTTCGTCTATCCTCTCTTGGTCTTCACTCCAAGATTTATTTGGTCCACCTATTATCCTTCATTCAAGCGACGTGTCCTGCCCACCTCCATTTAATTTTGGCTATGTGTTTTATGTCTTCTACACCACTTTTCTACGGATTTCTTCGTTTCTTAGCCTATCTCGCAACGTTATGCCTAACAATGATCTTTTCATTCTACGTTGCGTCACTTGTAGTTTTCGTGTAGATGTCCTTGTTAGGGTAAGTGTCTCTGCGCCATATGTAAGGACAGGCAGGACACACTGATTAAAGGCTCTTCTTTTAAGCTGATAGATGTATCACCTTTAAAAATATCACGCATGCTGTCCATCCCAGTGTTATTCTTCTTAGCAGCCCAGCAGTTTGATTATCTCTGCCAATTTTTACCGTACATATGTCCAAGGTATATGTAGCTGTCAACAATTTCAATTTCAACGTCTTCTACCCTTAAAGGATGGCTCGGAACTAAACTAGTCATCATTTTTGTCTTTTGGTAGTTAATATTTAGACCTACTTTACGTGCTGCATCGCTGAGTTCCTTCAATATATCACTGGCAGCATTTAGGCCATCTGAAATCAGAACAATATCATCTGCGAATCGTAGATGACTTCTTCTTCTTAAGGTGCCGTGCATTTCTGCGTAGGCGTCCACCGTACATCGTCTTGTCAGATGAGATGTTAAATATTCTGGATTAAATAATTCTGTTTTTAGCAGCATTGCGAAGCATTTCATAGCTGTGGATTCCTGTCCATTGTCGAATATTGCGCAGCCATGACATTTTTTTACGTCCGAGACCTCTCCTACCCTCTATCTTCCCTTCGAGTATCAGTTGCTGAAAAGTGTATCGTTCTCCTCGTATAATGTGCCCCAAGTATGCAGTCTTCTTACTTTTTACATAATTAAAAAGTTCCCTATCCTGTAAGCCCGCTCTTCTGAGTACTTCCTCATTTCTGACCCTGTCCGTCCATGATATTCTGAGCATTCGTCGCAGGCACCACATTTCAAACACTTCAAGTTTGTTAATGGAACTGGCCTTTAACGTCCATGCTTCCATTCCGTACAGGAGAACAGGCCACACGTAACACTTAAGCATCTTGTATCGGAGGTTGAAGTCCAATTTGCGATCAGTCAGAAACTTACGAAGCCTCAAAAAAGCATTTCTGGCTTGTTCAACTCTGCTCTTTATTTCATTCTCGGGGTCCCAACCCTCATTCAGCAAACATCCCAAGTATTTGAATTGCCTGACTTGTTCGATTTCTTCTCCAGAGACATATATCTTTGCTTTGGGGTAATCATTTCTACTTATAATCATGTAGATGACTAAGCATCAATATTTATTCATTTACTTTCCCATTCCACTAACTTCAAAGCATGTTCAAGTGCAGTATTGAACAAATTAGGCAACATAGTATCTCCCTGTCGAATACCTCTCCTGATATGTATCTTATTGGTAGGACCGTGCAGATTTAAAGTTGTAGCATTTCTGTATATATTTTCTATAATATTGGTGTACCTATGATCAATTCGATACTCTTCCAATGCCCTTAGAAGTGTGGGTAGTTCGATAGTATCAAACGCTTTATGGAAGTCTATAAATGTTAGAACTAGAGGTCTATTGTATTCAATTGATTTTTCAGGATGTTTGATACAAACTGATTCTTTTTCTAGTTCATCTTTTAATTCTTCTATAAATTTACTGGTTTAGTAAAACATCTACAAAATTTGTGACATAATTTCAAATAATTTTTGCTATCAATCATTTTCAAACAAAATACAGATACCTGAATTATTTACACGAAAACTTACTTTCCTGGAGTAAAAACATTTTTTTACCACAAGAATGTAAATTATATGAGACTTAAATTGGTGGATAAATCGGCGAAAATGTTCGAAAAAAGTTGAATTACAATTTTGACTAGTGAATAAAAAGTATCAAGAAAAATTGTCGGAAATGGAACACAAAAAAACCAATGGAATCTACCAACACCACTAATTATAACAAATATTCTAAATTATGTATGAAACCGACTCTACATTATCAACAATTAACATTTAGAGAAGTAATTTCTAAAATTGTACAAGCCGAAATATGCAAAATTGTTATTTTTTAACGTTTTTTTTTTGTTCAAGGTAACTGAATATATCAGTCTACCGTACAAAAATATTTGAAATATTCATGTTAGATTGCGTTGATGTATTTAGAACACTTCTAATCGTCTTTTATCGATCGAATTGTTGTTAATTTATTAATTTTATTCTTCTTACTGACTAATTACATCAAAATTATTGAAATATTTTCTTTTTTGTTTCAGAAAATGTCTTTAGACGAGGTAAGTACATATTCATATAAAGGGTGGTGTTTTTTTTTAACTTTGAACTGGAATAAAACAAAGATGATTTTTTAAATTGACATGAAGTTGCCTTTATTCGAAAGATAATCGTTTGACATTATAATTTAAATATGATTTCTGAGTCAGTAGAGTCCCCATAAATAACACTGACAAGCTTTCACATGCCGCAAAAGATAGACGTCTGGCCTTAAGATAAGAAGAAGATTTTTTGGGCCTTTTTCTGTATTCGGATTGCCGAATATAGGCCTCTGCTAATTCTCGCCATTTATCTCTGTTGTTTGTAAGACTTTTCCACATTGGTCCTGCAGTTCTTTTAATATCGTCGCTCCAGCGCATTTGCGGTCTTCCTCGTGGTCTTTTGGCTTCATATGGCCGCCAATTCTCGATTTCTTTATTCCATCGGCCACTCTTAAGCCACACTTCCGTTAGCTGCCCGTTCGCCAGCATCTTTTACTTTTGTTCTATTACGAAAGACTTCATTGGTTTTTTGGTATTTGAGTGAGATACCCAGCATCTGTCGTTCCATGGCTTTCTGAGTTTTTTCTGATCTTCTCCATGTTTATTTTAGTGAATGTCCAGGTTTAAGCTCCATATGTAGGTACAGGTAGGATACAGGATTTAAACACTTTGATTCGCAGTCTTTGAGGTATATTTTTATTTTTAAGCACGTATGAGAGTCTTCCGAATGCTACCCATCCCTTTTTTACACGTCTGATTAATTTCGGTAGTCTGATTTTCTTTGCTTACCTTGACATTTTGATTTGACCCAGATATCTACATTCATCTACGTGTTCTATGTCTGTCCCTTCGATGTTTATCATAGGTTTATCATCTTTGTTTGACATTAGGTTAGTTTTGCTGAAATTCATGATCAGTCCTTTTTTAGGGATTCTGTGTGCAGCTCTTCAATCATCGTATTCAGTGCATTCCACGTGTCGGCTATTAGTACTACATAATCTGCGTATCTCAGATGGTTCAAGTATCTTCAGTTAATAGGGATTCCCTTATTTTCCCAGTCTATTGACTTAAAGGTATCTTTTAGGGCAGCTGTAAATAATTTTGGAGATATTGTGTCTCCTTATCTTACGCCTTGGTTGATTTTTACTGGTCTTGTTTCGATTCCATTACCCAACGTCACTATTATTTCAGCGTTTTCGTAAATATTCTGTACCTGTCGATCCGGTTATTGACTAATGCTTCTTGTATTGCCCACAGTTCTACGCTAGCAAAAGCTTTTTCATAATCTATAAAAGCCAGACAAAATGAGAGATTGTATTCGTTAGTCTTTTCTATTAGGATTTTTAAAGTATATAGATGGTCACTGGTGCTGTACCCTTTTCTAAATTCGGCTTGTTCTACTGATTGATATCCGTCAAATTTAATTGTTAAGCTATTGTAATAATCTTTGTAAAGGTTTTGTAAAGTTGTGAAAGAAGTGAAATTGGTCGATCATTTTTCAGGTCTGTGGTGTCTCCCTTTTTGTGTATTAGTATTATTTTAGCAGTATTCTATTCTTCGGGTATGTTGCCTTGGAATAAAAATTTATTAAATAATATTTTTGGATATGTGATGGCTTCTTCTCCGCCTTCCTTCAGCATTTCTGCTAGGATTTCATCGCTTCCAGGAGCTTTATTCCTTTTTATTTCTTTTACTGCTCTTTCTATTTCTTCGTGGCTTATTTCGGGCATCACTTCTGAGTTGACATTTGTTATCCGCCTTTTAAGTTCTGCTTTGAGGAGTTAGGGGGATCGTTTCTGGAACGGTACAGATCGGCGTTGAAATTTTCAATTGAGTTTACAATATCAGATTTACTTTTTTATAGTTGTCCTTGTTCATTTCTAATGGTTATATTTTTCTTTCCTAGTTTCGGTTTGGTGCATTTGAAACTTCGGTTTTTCTCTATGATTTGTTCTATACGGTCTTCTTGATGTTTTTTAATGTCCTCTTTTATCTGTTTTCTTATTACTCGATTAAGTTCCTAAATTCTGCAGTGTCTCTTTTGTTTTGTCTCAGAAGATCTTTTCTTTGTTTCATCATGTTTTGTGATTCTACACTTATTTTGGATTTTCGTTTTCTGTTAGCGGTTGCCACTTCTGAGCTTGCATTTAATAGTTCTTTTGTTATGACTTCATTGATTTCATTTGAGCTAAGTTTATCTAGATTTAATAGTTTCTTGGGTTTTAACTTGCTTTTATATTGTTCTGTATTAGATTTTAGTATATCTGTGTCTATATTCCAAGTTTTTTTTAATTTATTTCTATTTTTATTATGTTTTATCTCTAATTTGCCTCTGACCATTCGGTTATCGCTAATCACTGACGCTGTATTTATTACTGATACGTCCTGTATGATATCTGTTTTTTTACACAGTATGTAATCTATTTCGTTCAGAGTTTTTCCGTCTGGGTATAGCTACGTCCAGTTTCTTTCTTTCTTTCTAGAAGAAGATAATATGTTTTAAAAACTGTCGGAAAGGACTATAAAATTCTTATTATTAGATTTTAGAGCAGGGTTAAGGAAAAATGTAGGCTCACAGATAAAAAAAAGAATAAAATAGACATATAGAAGTGAGTGAATCAATCGAAGCTGTAGCAGTTAATAATTCATTTCATTCAAAATTCAAATTAGAAAAAATAAAAATAAAACTAAATATGTAAGTAAATAAAAAACTAAAATCTAAACGAAGAGACTATACACAATTCATCATCCTATCCAATACAGCATAAACTGGCAGCTTATCATAGTATGTTACATAGATTAACAGAAATTCTTATGTCAAAATACAACTTTGAGACAGAATTAAATATAATTAAGCAAATAGCAGTAAACAACGGATACAACGAACAAACAATTAATAAAATGTTAAATCAAAAACTACACAAGAAAGCCCTAAGATTAGTATTTCCACCACCAGAGAAAAAACCCAGTACCTTCTGCTCGATTACATATACAGGCAAAATAACAACAAAAATTGCCAAACACATAAAAAAGAAAGAAATAACACCAGCTTTCCGAACAAATAACAACCTAGGCAAATATATTAAAAATAACAAGAGCCAAAATAAAAAACACTAAAATAGTGGTGTGTACAAACTTCAATGTGGTGACTCCCCAAAAACTTACATCGGTCAAACTGGTAGAAACTTTGATAAACGAATAGCAGAACATAAAAGGGCTTTCAAGAATAGAAAAACAGATTCGACATACGCACTTCACCTTCTAGATCATAATCATTCTTTTAATGACAAATTGAAAAATCTTCACATTCAAAATAAAGGCCTTAAGCTATCTTTGTTAGAATCTATGGAAATCAACAAATTAAAAAACACAGATATAATTCTGAATGACCAACTTGAGGCAAACAGTTCTCCCCTCCTCAACCTATTTCATTAGAGACTATAAATTTGTAAACCCAAGCCAAAAATAGATCACTTGAGAAAGGCAATCAGCCGAAACAGCTGTAGTGATAAGATTTAAAATAAATTTTGTGGAAGTTTGAAAACAAAGTTTTCAGTGTTTTATTGTTACATAAAATGAATTTCCATCAAGTAACGGTCGAATCCATCAATTATTTAAACGAAGAGAATTTATCTACAATATTTAATATGAAGTAACCACAATTTGAATTGGAAATACGCTTATTTTTATATTTTGATTTCCGCTTAGGAAATTAAAAACCTTTTATTTCGTATTTTGAAAAAGTGGAAATCGAAAATTCAAGATAAACGTATTTTCAATTAAAATTGTGGTTAATTCCTCCTAACATATAGTAGAAATTTTACAAGAAAATGTTTTTAAAACGATATGAAGAGTATTTAAAAATGGAATAAAATTTTATGTACGATAATAATAAATTCTTCAATAAAAAATAACATTTTTTGTTTGCATTTTACTAGCAACAACATAATTGAACATATTAACATTGATTACAAAATAATATACGAAAAAACTTCAAAAAAAAAACTTCCATAAAATGACGTAATCTGTAAACAAGCATATTAACATGAACGATTAAATGCACATCCATAAAATGAAGGCAATTAAAAGTAAATGTAATTACAGTGGTATTAGTTCATAAAAAAAGTAGTCAATGGAATTGGAAATGTAAAATGGTAAATTTTCCTGTAATTAACTTATTTTCGATCCGTTATTCACACTTTAGGCGATCATTATAGCTCGTGGAAGAATTTTTAGATCGAGAATTTTACTGTTAGACAATCCTGATGTTATAAAAAGTGTTGTCAAAGAAGAAACATAAATTGTAAGACCTTTAATCAAATAAAAGAGCCCAGGGTAAGATTTAATAAAAAAAATTGATTAATCATCATCATCACGTAGCGCTACAACCCTGGGTGGGCCTTGGCTGATTGTACAACTTCTTTCCAATTTGTTCGATCTTCCATCAACTTAGGATCAATGATTCTATGTCCTCTTTTCTCAGAGGAAATTGCTTTATAGAATTCTCTGGAGCCTGGTTTGGGCCGGTCTCTCTCCATAGCTTCATATTGTTGTTGTTCATAGTTTCTTTCCTTTGTGCGTATTATTTTTCTTGTTTCTTTTCTGCAGTCGTCATATTCCTTTTTACTTTGGTCTGTTTGAAGTTGTATCGAAGTCTTCCTTACCGTTGGTCTTTTTTCCAGCTGTTTTCGACATTCGTCATACCATGTTTTTGCCCTCTTCTGCATACTCTTTCCAAAGATCTTGTCCGCTGTCTTGGTTATTATTTCGGAAGTAGTTTCTCATAGCTGTTCTATATCATTGTATTCTCTTTCAGAATTCAAGGGTTGTTCAAGTTGTTCTCTATAGTTTTGTTGTTTCTCTGTATTGTGTATTTCGTCCATGTTCCATTGTGGATCTTTTAATCTCTACGTTACTTTCAACTATCATTCGCTCCATGTCGTCTCTTCTTCTAGTTCTATGTCCAAAATATCTCAATTCTGTGCTACACCTTATCACCGTATCTTTTTTGTCGCATTTGTATTTGAAATCGTTAACACCCGTATGTCATTGAGATTTAAAGGTTATTGTATATCATCAGGCAAGCGTAGTTGTACACAAACTTAAATCTAAGGGCAAACAAAACGGATCCGCATATTTTCCCACTCACATATTGATCATATTCTGTCCTTTACGCGCGACGAAATGTACAAAATAATTCTTCAAGGAGAGCTTTCTGTAAGACAAATGTTTCTTGTTGTTTTTTTGTGTTAAATATGTTATCGTTGATGATTTTCCATGCTTAATCTACGGTGTTCCTATTTTTATATTCATTATTCAATTCGTCTACTTATAATTTTACTAAATTTCATGTCCTTTTAATGCTTTTTCAATAAAATAACTATAACTTCACAGTGTTACGCCAGCCCTTGCTAAGCCTCTGATCGAACCTTCTCGGAGTTCCAAGAAGTTCTACGACTGTTCTGACGACAAGAGAGTTCCAGAAATATTTCGAAGAATGAGGTGGACTATAAATTCATCGTGTTTTAGTGGTACCCTTAGAAGACTGTAAATAAATTGAAATAAACATTACATTGGGTCAAAAATGGTCTATTTAAATAAATTCTGCGAAAAATGGCTACAAGACTTGTGATTTGAAACTGGCAGATTTACAACAGGAATTAGAAGATAGAGAATTAAATTTTGTCGGAGAGAAGGACGCCCTGGAAAACAAAGAGTTTTGACCCATAAACATATATATTTGGGGACAAGCATACTGTTGCCATTTCATCAATTTCGAAACGTCTTTCATCGTTGGAAAGTTTCTTGTGATATTTCAAAAGTTTATTCTGATAAATAAAGTTCCTAATGATACACTTATTTAGTTTTTTTTTTATTATCATTTTTTAAATTTTAAATGAAATGAATTATTAACTGCTTCAGCTTCGATTGATCCACGCACTTCTATATGTCTACTTTATTATTTTTTTTATCTGTGAACCTACATTTTTACTTAACACTGCTCTAAAATCTAACAACACGAATTTTACCTAGTCCTTTCTGACAGTCTTTAAAACATATATTCTTCTTATAATATAGTCCAGATATAAAGTTTTTCGTACCTTGATTCAAATAAACATAAAAATTTGATATTTTTTTTGCAGAGATTCCAAAAAGCTGCTGACGATATCAAGAACCTAAAAAGTAAGCCAACTGACAATGATCTATTAGAAATTTACGGATTGTTCAAACAAGCTACCGAAGGAGACATTACCACAGGTAATTTTTGACGTTTCCTTTTCATCTAAACTCTCCAAAGAGTTCTATATTTTACGACGAGGTATTTATTTTATTATTTTTTTTGTAGCCCGACCTGGACTATTGGACCTTAAAGGAAAAGCCAAATGGGACTCGTGGAACTCCAGGAAAGGAGTCGACAAAGACAAAGCCAAGGAAGAATACATCGCAAAAGTACAGTCGTTGATCGATAGCATAGGACTCGCATAAGGCATTTATATCATCACTTTTTTTTAAGGCAAAACTATTTTGTTATTATTATACTGTATGGTTCTAATAAAAAGAATTTTCTTGTAATTTTTGTATTGTTTTTTTTTGACACGCTATGAAGATCTAAACAAAAATTTTTTTTTGCATCTTCTTCTGTCTCAAAATTTCTAGATGTAAGTCCAAAATAATCACTATCTGGCCAATTCACACCTTCCTACTCATTAATCTTTTCTTTTGAGCCTTATTTGATCTACATACTACATGGAGCATAAAATAACGTGATTGCAGTGTTGATTTACTTCTGATTTGTAAATATTAATGCATTAGGCAGTTCTATCACAAAATATCTCGATGTCACTCATTTATCTTTCATTTGCACTCTTGATTACCAAATAAAATGGACACAATTTTCATTTTTCTTCTATGTTTTGTTAGTCTTAGTGCAACAGTCGATTTTGTCACGAAATGTCTTGACGTAAGTTCAAATAAGTCTTAAATAATCATTACTGAGCCTTACTTGAGTTTCATACTACCTGAAGTACCAAATAAAATGCCACAGTCTTAATTTACTTCTATATTCTGTAAATCTCAGTGCAACAATCGATTCTGTCACAAAATTTCTAGGTGTAAGACCAAATTAATCATTATCTGGCCAATTTACACCATTCCACTCATTTATCTTATCTTTTAAGCCTTATTTGACCTTCGTACTACATAGAGCACCTAATAACGTGATTACAGTCTTAATTTACTTCTATGTTTTGTAAATATTAGTGCATTAGGCAGTTCTATTATACAATATCTTGATGTCACTAATTTATCTTTCGTTTGGAGTCTTATTTGATCTTCATACTACATATGGATTACCAAATTAAATGGACACAGTCTTCATTTTCTTCTATGTTTTGTCAATCTTAGTGCAACAATTGGTTTTGTCACGAAATGTTTCGACGGAAGTCCAAAATAAAAGTCCTAAATAATCATTACTGAGCCTTATTTGACGTTCATACTGCCTATAGTACCAAATAAAATTCCACAGTCTTAATTTACTTCTATATTTTGTAAATCTTAGTGCAAAAGTCAATCCTGTCACAAAATTTCTAGATATAAGAACAAAATAATCTTTATCTGGCCAATTCACACCTTAACACTCATTTATCTTTTCTTTTGAGCCTTATTTGATCTACATAGAGCATAAAATAACGTGATTGCAGTCTTGATTTACTTCTGATTTGTAAATATTAATGCATTAGGCAGTTTTATCACAAAATATCTCGATGTCACTCATTTATCTTTCATTTGCAGCCTTGATTACCAAATAAAATGGACACAATCTTCATTTTCTTCTATGTTTTGTTAGTCTTAGTGCAACAGTCGGTTTTGTCACGAAATGTCTTGACGTAAGTCCAAATAAGGCTTAAATAATCATTACTGAGCCTTACTTGAGCTTTATATTCCCTGAAGTACCAAATAAAATACAACAGTCTTAATTTACTTCTATATTTTGTAAATCTTAGTGCAACAGTCGATCCTGTCATACAAATTCTAGGTGTAAGTCCAAAATAATCATTGTCTGGCCAATTTACACTATTCCACTCATTTATCTTATCTTTTAAGCCTTATTTGACCTTCGTACTACATAGAGCACCTAATGACGTGATTACAGTCTTAATTTAGTTCTATGTTTTGTAAATATTAGTGCATTAGGCAGTTCTATTACAAAATATCTTGATGTCACTAATTTATCTTTCGTTTGGAGCCTTATTTGATCTTCATACTACATGGATTACCAAATTAAATGGACACAGTCTTCATTTTCTTCTATGTTTTGTCAATCTTAGTGCAACAATCGGTTTTGTCACGAAATGTTTCGACGTAAGTCCAAATATAAGTCCTAAATAATCATTACTGAGCCTTATTTGACGTTCATACTGCCTATAGTACCAAATAAAATTCCACAGTCTTAATTTACTTCTATATTTTGTAAATCTTGGTGCAAAAGTCAATCCTGTCACAAAATTTCTAGATATAAGTCCAAAATAATCATTATCTGGCCAATTCACACCTTCCCATTCATTTATATTTTCTTTTGAGCCTTATTTGATCTACATACTACATAGAGCATAAAATAACGTGATTGCAGTCTTGATTTACTTCTGATTTGTAAATATTAATGCATTAGGCATAGTTATCACAAAATATCTCGATGTCACTCATTTATCTTTCATTTGCAGCCTTGATTACCAAATAAAATGGACACAATCTTCATTTTCTTCTATGTTTTGTTAGTCTTAGTGCAACAGTCGGTTTTGTCGCGAAATGTCTTGACGTAAGTCCAAATAAGTCTTAAATAATCATTACTGAGCCTTACTTGAGCTTCATACTACTTGAAGTACCAAATAAAATGTCACAGTCTTAATTTACTTCTATATTCTGTAAGTCTCAGTGCAACAATCGATTCTGTCACAAAGTTTCTAGGTGTAAGTCCAAAATAATCATTATCTTGCCAATTTACACCATTCCACTCATTTATCTTATCGTTTAAGCCTTATTTGACCTTCGTACTACATAGAGCACCTAATAACGTGATTACAGTCTTAATTTACTTCTATGTTTTGTAATATTAGTGCATTAGGCAGTTCTATTATAAAATATCT